TGTTTTTTTTTGTTTGGTAGAATTTCGCTATAGAATGAAAGAAAATTTCTGACAATGTTATGTTATTCATATTTCATTCTCAAAGTGCTTTCACTCCTCTGTAATGGATGCGCCCGTGTCACGTTTGGATCTTTTGCGTCTACATGTGTTGGGAAGTACCCATTTTGCTATATTGCTAGTGACTCCTCGTAACCTTTAAGTCCACTCACTTTCGTCCCTATTAATGAGTCCCTGGATTATAGGCGCATGTTCACAAAATCTGCTAAATTATTTTGGTAAAAGCCTTTAAATAATAGTAGGACTAGCATTTTTAAAGACTAGTTTTTCTAGTGAGGCATCCTCAAAGACGTGTGTACGTATAAAGTATGAAGAAAATTAATTTATACACACGCGCACTCCAATTCAGTGTTTATATGCTGCGTATGCGTAACTTTTACTATTCGCCTTACTCCTGTGTTTTCGACATTGCCAACGTAAATTGTGTGCTTAATTGCCGCGCACTACGAAAACAAGCCAAGTTTAAGCTTATTTTCGCAGCAGAGTTTCTCTACTAAAAACAACGCATACCACACTTTCTTCAATATATACATACGTACAAATACATGCACACACAAAAGCCCACTAGCTTTAAGTGACTTTTGCTTCATTTCATTTCGATTTCATGCTTATGAGAATTCTTGTATGTCGTCCTCATTGATTTCGACAGTTGACATTATTTTCTTACTTTTCTTTGGACTTCCTTTCGTTTATTTACTTATTTTCTGCTTATTTCAAGGCAATTTTCGCATTTTTCCACACACATGCCTACCACGCCCGTTGTGCTTAGTGACATTTCATGCAACAAATTGTTATTTCTTCCGAATGTAGATACATATGTACATATATATGTGCGTACATATGTATTGGACTTTTGGTTTTAATTGCCCAATATTTTCTGAAGCTGTGCAAACATTTCGTTGATTAAGCTTGCCAAATGGTGTGAAATTGGTCTGAACTTTTGCTCCTTATAGTCGCTTATGCCCATTTGGTGTGCAGGTCTGTCAATACTGAATTCTATGTGCCTAAATAATCAAGTAAATTTCTTTGAGTTTAACTTTTTATGATTCCAAAAAAGTCACAGAATTCAATAAATTAATTAAGGAATGTTAGACTTAACTTTTAAATGTATGAATGCAAAAAAGAAAAAAACTGAACATCATTTAATGGTAGCCCAAAACGTGGGCATAATTTTTGGTAATTCAAAAAGTGGAGATAAACTTTTAGTCAATTTAGACATATTTTTTTGGTAATTAAAAACAGGTCATCAAACCTTGGTCAATAAAAAGCTGGACATAATTTGATGGCACTTAAATATTTAGACATACTTTTTTGGTAACTTACAAACTAGTCGAAAATTTAGGGTTTTAATTAAAAAACTGGACAGAATTTTTGGTAATTAAAAAAACTGGACATAATTTTGTAGTCATTTAAACACTAGCCATTTAAACTCTAGTCATAATCTTTTAGTTATTTAAATCTTGGAAACAAATTTGTAGTCACTTAAGAACTATACATAATTTTAAAGTGACTAAAAACTGGAAATCAATAATTTTTTATATGTATAGTACATGAAAAGCTGGACATAATTTTACGGTAATTCAAAAACTTGATGGTTTAGTTTTTTGGTAGTACGAAAACAATGTATCTATAGACATATTTTTTTTTTTTAATTTCTGATAAATGAGAAATCTGTCATTATTTTTTGGTAATTTTAGAGCGGGACATACATTTTTTAAACAGGACATACATTTTTAAAAATATAAAACTCGACCATTAGATTTAGTGAAAAACTGGACATGCTTTTTGTTACCTTACAGAAGACCATAATGTTTGTGGTAAAATAAAGATCGAAGATACTTTTTTGATATTTGAGAAATTGGTAATAAATTTTTTATAATTTAAAAATTGGACAACATTTTTTGGCAATTTAAGACCAACCATAAAATCCACAAATTAAAATTTGTCCCTTTAGGTCCTTCGGTCGCCGAAGATTAAGATTTTTTTCAAAAATGTTGAAAAACAAATGCCAATCAATAAAAAAAAAATTACAAAAATGGGTAATTGCCTAAGAACTTGAAAGTCCAGCTGTCGCTAATCGGATTCGGAGTGATACTTGCTGCCATATTATAATTGATAGACATATGTCAATGATACCAATCAATGCATGTTAGTCAATGAGCTGTGAATTGTGATACACTTTCTGTGATAAAATGTCACTGATTAAATTTTTCTGATTAAATTTCTCTTACAAAAATTTGTTGCAAGCGCTATTGAAGCTGTCATTTATCATTTGATTTACGCTGCAATTTGCTTTGTATGCATGTCAATGATCAGATTTATTTGTATAACCGGATGAGTTGAGTACAAATTGAAGAGCTTTCACATATGTATGTATGGTGCTGAAGTATATACTTACATATGCAACTATGTAGATTCATATGTACACAAGTACATGTTGCACGTATACATACGTGCACGCACGCACGCAACACTTTTAACAGCACAGCACAGCCACCCAACTCTATGTACACTAAATATTACTGATACGTAGCGGTGTCCCATGTGTAATGCTCACAGGTAGGCAGTGACTATAAAGAGATGGATGCTCATAAATTACTCTTCCAACAATATTCGCATTATTGAACTTTTAAAGTGCAATCACGATATTTAAACACTTAACACAACATTATTGCAGCATGCTACGTGCCAGCCGTGCAAAAAATAAATGAATAATTTTGTAAAAAAGGTGAAAAGTTTCAGCTTTATTGGTTTAATATTAATGCCTGCATAGCAGCATGCAAAAGAATGTGATAAATTTGAGTATAAAGAATGGATATACATGTGTATATATTATCAGCATATGTAAATGTATGTAAAAAAGAACAAATATGAAAAGCATGGAAGTATGAAAAAGGGTCGCAAACAAAGCGAGTGAAAGCAAAGTAAATAAAATGAAAAGAAACACAAATCAACGCTGACATTACCAATACGCAGACAATTCGCACACAATTTTATTAAAGTCACGCAGACGTATATACATATGTATATATTTGTATATAGTCTGGCATATGTGAGCGTGCACACGTGCAAGTCATAATAATTCACAAGTCAAGTTACGCTATCGGCTGGCAGCGTCGGTGTAAAATTCGCAGGTGGGTGCATTGATTTGGCATAGCAGGCTTACATATGTCGATATGTATGTATATATGTATGTACATTAGGGTGGTGCAGAAATGCATGTAAAAAAAGTATCGGCGGAATTTGAAGGGTCTCACCCTCCAGAATTGTTCTATTGAAAATAAATATTTTTCAATCGGAAAACTCGGGTTCTTTTCTCCCAATAATAATACCCAATACTATTTTTTCATAATACCTATATTTTATAGGCCCGCCAAAAACCCCACAAAATGCAATGGGGGTCCATTAAAAAATCGTTTATATTAAAAAATGTTTAAATAAACAATTGGGTAACATTTCTGGAAGTCTCGTGAAGAGAAACAGAGTTTTCCGAATGATTTTCAATACAAATCACATTAAACCAACGAATAGGAGTTAAACGTCCTACCAACTTGGCATACTTGCGAAAAGTTTTCTTTGCCCTTTTTAGAGTCTCTATTTTTTTGGAATTTTTTTTAGCTCAAATATTTAAAAACGTGTGAATGTGTTTTTGATTGCCCACATTGTTTGTGCATGTGTAGCTATTTATTTTTGGATGGCCACTATTGAGGAACTCCACAACAAGCTGAATTGTGTAGCTGAAAGCCAGAAAAGCGCTGAACGTATGAAAAGCTTGTTGTGGAGTTGTACTCTTAGTGTGCCTCATTTCCCAACTGGAATCAGGCAGTCAGCAATGGAAAGGCGGAAATCTCGATGGGAAGCCAGCTACTCGAAATTCCCACCCGCTCTCGGAATGAACTCTTCAATAAACCAACATATGCTAGCAATATTACCACATCTCCCGGTCACTATATATGTATTTACCAACTTACAATTAAGGCAAGATTATTCGGAAGATTTGCTGAGCCTGGCTGTATGAGCTTTATATCCATGTGGACGTTGTTCTGTCCTTCCATAGAACCCAGGCCCTACAGGGTTGTAGTACGCGGCTCTCACCACTCGGCTACGACAGCAAGTGCTCCCATGTTTTTAACTGAAGAACGAAAAGTGCATTTTAAAATGACACTCAAACCTTTTTAAACACTCAAAGGAGGGGAAAAAATTTAATAAATAAAAAAGATTGAAAAACTAATCTTCAAAAAAGAATGCTTAAGTACAACAACCTTTATGAAATATCACTCGCGACCCTTATCAACTGATTGTAAGAGTTAATAAGGCAGGCATGACCGAAGCAACACATACTCCTCAACAAGCAATCACCAGCAATACAACTACAAATTGCCTTCTATTAGCGATATGTCTGATTAGATTTCAAACGAAAAGGGAAATAGAAATTGAGATGACTTGAGAATTTTACAAGAAAAATAAAAATAAAACTAAAAGTGAAAGTGAAAGTGAAGAAAGAGGATTTGTATTTCACTTTTCAATTTAACTTTCAAATCCCAACATCCTTCATGTTGTTTCGCGTTTACGTCAAACTTACAAGCGTAACTTGAGCTCTCTTATAATCTACATAAGTATTGTTGCTGTTATTGTGTAAAGCAATTTTAACTTTACCTCTGCATTTTATGGCATAATGTCTGTATATTTTTTTCGTTTTGCATTCTAACAGCAACAGTTTTGTTAGCAACGCATTCATTCGTTCTTTTACGCTTTTGAATTAAACGCTGCTTCAATCAATGCACACCATCTATCCCGCCCACTGGCTCTCTTACTCACCCACTGGCTCTCTTACTCGCCCACTTACTCAATCGCACAATCATTCATTCATTTTTGCATTCTTTCGTTCTTTCATTCTGGCAGTCAGTTTATTTACTTTATTTTTTCCAAATCTTTCGTTGTAGCTACAACAACCGTGCGCGGTTAAGGCTGCCGCTGTTGATGTGGACGGTCCCGCTGCCCCACCCTACGACCTGGATGCGATAATAAATCAGATTTTATATCCCAATCCGGTTTATCAATTGCATGTAAGTACGAATATATTGTGTTCATTTTTATATAAAATTGTTTGGTAGTGAATATGTAAACAGCGGCCAAAGGTGAATGAAGTCCTATGTAGTATTTTTCTTATTTCATATTTATTCGAATTTTATGATTAGCGGAAATTTTTCTACTTTCAATTGAGAGCGAAGAAGAATAAGGAAGTGAATGTAGGAGGAACAGAATAAATGCGCGTAGTTTAGCTATAAATAGAAAACATTTTTTTTTATCAATTTCTTGTACCTTACCGCTCTTTAACAGTACTGCTCGAATTTTAATTAGTAAAGAAATACATACACCGTCGGCAAAAAGTATTGGCACAGCAAATTTTTCACAATATATGCGAACAAATTTTTCTAATATTTTTCCGGCAATTTTTTATAAAAATTTTGTTCATTCTACAGCAATAAGCATAAAAATATAATTCCTAAACTTTGTGCAAAACTCACGAAAATTCAGCAAATTTTCATGCAAATTTTCAACTTTTTAATCAGATTTTCTGGAAATTTTTTGAGTATGCATATTTGTAGCTCAATCAATTTTATTATAATAAAGTACAGGTTTTAAGTAGCTATGAATTACCGTTAATTTTTGGACATTTTTTTCACGCAGTCTCTTTCATAAAAAAAAAATTTTCGAAAATACTTTATGTGGAAAAATTGCAAAACACCTTCAACAAAAAAAAATCTCAAAAATAAATGCAATTTTTGGCTAACTCTGAACTTGCATGTTTTTTACTAGAATTGAAGGGGCTGCAAACCTGCATACTCAAAATTCTAATATTCCACTAATTAAAAAGTTGAAAATTTGCATGAAAGTTTGTTGAGTTTTCGTGAGTTTTGCACAAAGTTTAGGAATTATATTTTTATGTTTTTGGTCGTAGAATGAATCATATATTTAAAAAAAAATTACGAAAAAATATTAGAAAAAAAAACTTTTGCATATATTGTGAAAAATTTACTGTGCCAATCCTTTTTTACGGCAGTGTATATATGCAAATGCTTTAATGATTTTTCATCCTAAAGCTTTATTTGTATTTAGTATTTCTCATGAACAATCACAAGACATATTTTTCATTATTTCTTAAAGAAATAAATATACGAGCACTTTTTTAGAGCTACAACGGTTTTACGATATTTTGGGAAAAGAAATTTTTCCTGAAAGCTGGAACTATGCTTTTATGAGTATCCAACCAAGAAATCTAAACATTAGTCAAGCAAAAAAAAAAAAATATCTCAAGAAATATTGATGATGGCTTTTTTTCTGTAGTTCTTGTTATTTACTAGATCGGAGCGAAAACACGACAATTTCATGAAAAAATTGGGTTTAGTAACCCGTACTACCTCGCTGGTGGAAATAGACATTTTTCTAGAGCATTCAATTCTGAAGAAAATCCATCATTGACCAAAATTCTATTTACGATAAAATGCTTGTGCTCTGTACAATTTTGACTTCTACAATTGACTACCAATAAGCGTTAGCTAATAATATTGCACAGCAATAAATTTAATATAGATAAACATGTTGCAAGTCAGATCGAGTTATTTATCGAATTTCATACCTCAAGACTAATATAAAATGATATCGATAATTTTTCGGATTTTAAAATCGATTAATCTTATGGTAAATATCTTAAATTGTTTTTTAGAAAAATCTTAAGAGTCCTGCAGTGGAATCCGGACAATCGATACGCTAAATTTCCATCGCTAAAATTCTCTAAATGAAAAGCAGTGGGGCCTAAAAGTACGCTACATGGAAAAGTAACCCTGCTATTCTTTTGGAGACTTTTAGCGATCAAAATTAGCAATAGCGAATGCTGGAATCCGGCTGCGGAACACAATCAGTAAGGAACAAAATAAATAAAAGTTGAAACTTTTAACATCGCTTTTGCATCAACTATTAGAGCTATGGGTATATGCTTATATCGTCGGTACATTGGCAAAACCGCGTATCTATTCAAAGATTTATGTCCGTTCTAGCGGAACTATAACAAAATAACCTGCTTATTCAAGCTTTCCTACCAGTCTCCATAACTTAATGCCTTCTGGGTTTGTAAGCTTCGAAGAAGACCAACTGAATCCGCGAAATGGTTCCGATCCCACATGGACCGACGATGAGGTTTCCCTCGCAGCAAAGTCTTAACCTGTTTCTTTCTGTCAAGATTTTAAGAGCGCCAAAACACTTCTTGACGAGCTTCGCGGGATTCCTCCGGTTGGATAAGGTCCTAATGGCCGCCTGGCTGTGTGAAAAGATAACTAAAAAGGTGCCGCTCGAACCCTTTTCAAGGTTCATTCTGGCACCGGTTGAGATTGCTAGCACTTTAATCTAAAATATTGTGCAATAGAAAGTTTATTGCTTAGACCCGTGTGTGTACAAAAGCGCTTGCATACCTGGGATCGAGGCAAGCAGTCCAATAACTATACACTTAGTACTAAATAAGACAAATTTAGATACGCAGTTTCTTTATTTGGTACCAGATTTCAAGGAGTAAAACTTTAGTAAATTAACAGCAAAATAGTTAGTGCTAAAGGATTCTTTAGATACAAGTACTTGGTGCTTCCAATATTTTTATGATTTTTTTTTGTCGCTTATTCAACTTTAATCCTGGGTCAAAAATCCAGCCTATTTTCTTGGAGTCTGCTCAAAATGTTTCCATATTAATTCCATACTCTTTCTTTCCACTTCTACACTCTTTTACTCAATCAGGCCTCCGCTCTACGCAGCCAATTACACAACCTACTACGCGAACGGCAATTGGAAGATGCTGCCGCCGCCGCCACTGAACAAGCCTCGAATGCAGCTGCTCCCGATTATGACTACTTCGACGAAGATAAACGCTCTCTAGCCGCATTGGCCGCACAAGGCTTGCTACATCCCAAACGTAGCCTGGCAACGCTCGCCAAGAACGGACAGTTGCCCTCATTACCCGACCCGGACGATGAAGAACCAACTGTGCAGAACGAAGATAAGCGTTATGTGGGCGCGCTAGCACGCAGCGGTGGTTTTGCCACCTACGGCAAACGCAACATCGGCACACTGGCGCGTGACTATCAGCTACCACAGAATGGCAAACGTAATCTGGCTACACTGGCACGACTGGGATTGCTCAGCAAAAGCGAAGGCAACAAGCGCAATTTGGCCGCTGTGGCACGTTACAATTCGCATGGACGTCAAGCAACCATTGCACCGGGTGAAAAGCGAAATATTGGCGCATTGAAGAGTTCACCGGTGCATGGTGTACAGCAGAAGCGTGATGAGGATGAGGTCTACTTACCGGCAACTTACTTTGGCAGCGATATGGATTATGCTGATTTTATGCCCAACTATTGGATGTACCCAAGCTATGCCGATTTGGATTGGGGTGACTTTGGACGCGCACAAAAACGCTTTTTAGGTGAGTGCAGAAAATTTTGAAAATTTTAATGATAGTGGGCCGATGAGGGAGGGATTGTAAATTGTTAAAGGATTGTAAATAATCTAAAGGCTTGAAAGTATGTCAATATTATGCTACAATATTTAGGGTAAAATTAAGCACATTTGCGCTATTAAACTAACCATATGTATATACATGTATACACATACTTATGTATATAATTTCATATGAAACATTATAATAGTTACACACTGTAAACTATGTACTATATACATATCTACTATGCACATTCCTCTAAAGATACCTCCAGGAATCCTGAACTCTTCGGCATCGAAAATGCTTTACCACCCGCCGAACCGGACTTTATGCCGCTGATTGGCGGCATCGATGATCCCGGCGAAGAAGCTGCCGCGCTTGCGGACCTCTCGAAAGATGACGCCGCATCAGCTGGAGGACCCTACGGCCCGCCGCCGCAAAAACGTCACATTGGCGCAGTCTATCGTTCGGGCTTCTTGCCCTCTTATCGTGCACTACGCAGCACCACTGGCACCTACGGCACTTACGGCAGCGGCATTGGCGGTGGAGGCGGGCGTTTTAGTCGCTCGGGACGTGCCAGGCAATTTGTATGAGTAAATGGCGGTGAATTTGTGTGTTAATTGCTGATGAACCTACATACATGCATATCTTTAACTTACCTAATTGTAACTCGTAAAAAGTCATTTAAACTGTGTCCTCGTAAAACGTGTAGCTGCACTCAGATGCTGGTCCGAATGATGGTCGCATTGTGTTCCGCTACTGTGTCCTGTCTAGAAGCATCCTGTAATTTGAACATTTGTCTCTTTTGTTCATTTGTCGTTCGTTCAAAGTTCGCATACTCGAAATTCTGTGTTGCATACACACTTTTAGTTTTATTTTATATAATTTTTATTTTTTTTTTTAATTCGCAACAAACGTATTTTTGTTTTTGTAAGCAAAAAGTGTTGCACACTCTCACTCTTCTTCATCTTTTTCTGCTGGGTAGTTGCTAGTGTTTTGGAAAAAACATTAACTGACAAACAAGAAAAACTACTCACAAATAAATATGTATTGGATGTATTAGGGTATTGCACGTGCACGGGTAGTAAAAATTATTTGATTGGCATGCATCTCTAACAAAATTAGAAATTTACCTTTTTGCTCGTAGTTACTTTTACAGCATACTCGTTAAGCTCTACATTCTTTTCGCAAGGAATGTCGTAATAAATGTCAGTAATGTTCGACAAATAGTTTTAAAACTTTTTAAGGCTATGCCACGATACAAAAAAGAAGCGAGTTTCACTTCGAAATTTTTTTACATGAACTGTGCTTTTGACGTTTATACTTTTGGTAAATTGCTCAAGTAGCACTGCCACTTCAACAAATTATTGTTTTGGAAACTTTATATTTTTCATTCACATTTAATCGTATTAGCAGAACTGTTAATAAGTGTGTATTGATTTAAAAACCCTAAAATTACCTTACCGAAAAAAATTTGGCATTATCTGTAGTGTTACATGAGATATGTTATTACACCGTGCGACAGTAAATTTACACAGAAAAAAAAATGAATATATTCGCGAAACTATGGATNTCCTGCAAACTTTATCAACTTAAAAAGATAAAATTTATTAAAAGCGCATTTCCAATACTTATTGCCTTTGTAAACAAAAAAAAATTATTGTTTTTAAATTCTACAGGATGTTCTCTCTCATTTGGCACCCATATTGTTATTCTACCTTGGACTGATTTTTTTAAATAATTTTTTGAATCAATCATATTTTTAGAACTTCAAAGTCCTTTGCAAAAAAATCCAGACGTCAGAGTTAAAAATTAGAAACGTAGTTTTACATATTTGCCCATTGTTTCGTAAGTATATCGATTCTTCGGGTGTTTGCATTTTTTTCTTTGTTTTTGTCGCACGGTGTTATATCTGGAAATTTAGATATTAGGATGTTGCTTTAATTTGGATCCTCTTTAGAGGAAATATGAACAAAGGAGTGGTTAAAAAGTAGCTTACCGTCAATGAAAGCACTATGAAAGCATAAACTTATTTATGATAACGTATGATGTAGTCTTAGAGCTCCTTGTTATAGTTTATAGACAGACAAACCACCCGCTCTACTGCTGCTGGTGCCGCGTTTCGCTTAGATTGGGCACATACGTCCCGAGGCTGAAAATTTTCAGCCGAAAAGTGGTTGGGGAACAAATAACAAACATCTTTGTGAAGTTACCATGCCCGGGGCCTTCCCAAAATATGCAGCCAATCATACTAAATAATAGCTAAAACACAACGCCGACGAACGGCAAACTTCGCCGAATACTTAAACGGAATTAGAGCGGTAGCGAAAATAGCTGAGAAATACTGAACCATATTTAGAAATGAGGAAATGTTAGCAAATATAAAGATAAAACAAAGAGAAATTATTATAAATTATTTTATTTTAAACCAGATTCAACGAATCCGCAACTGTTGTTTTCAAACAACAAAAATAATTCGTGAAAAATTCTAAAACTTTGAAATCAAAAAAGAAATACCTGCACCTTTTGACAGCGCGAATTTCGCTGTGGTGAGTTCTTCGTTCGCCGGCATTGTGTTTCAGCTGTAATGATGAAAATAATTGCACAAACAAATAGATTCTCTATGTGCATTTTACAATGCAATACGAGTATTTTACTTGCCCTCCGTTTTATATTTAATTTTAGAAATAAATCACTAAAAGCTCGCTATAAATGATGCTCATAATATATTTTTTCAAATAATTTTTTAAATACTTTTTTTAAGTAAAAAACCACTTTTTAATTACTTCAAAGAATATGGTAGCTTCAATTGAAAAGAAAATTTTAAAAGCACAGTTTACGTCAAATGGGAGCATGGGCGAATAAAAAGAAAAGGTGAAACAACCTTTAAATATTTGTATCAAGGGCTATGCTACGCTTTGCAGTTAGCAACAAGAGGTGAGGGGATGTGAAATTAAAGAAAACTTTGTTAAGTTGTTCGATACAATGCGAAAATTTATTTCATATAATGCATTTTAAATTTTTAATTGCCTAAAATTACACTCTACTCAGCAGCCTAAGAACATTAGACTGCATCACTCCCTGTACAAAAAAATGGTACTGTTTTCTATTGGAATTAGAAAATCTTTTCTATTTTAAGACTTGCACCAAAATATTTCGGAAAAATATTAAGTTTTACGTGAGCTGGACCAATTTGAAAATATCTCAAAAAATTTAGTTTTCATGAATAGAAATAGTTTAAGAAAAACTTAAATAACTCGGCTAAATCTTTACCCGATTTAAACTTATAAGATATCATTGGAAAGGTATTTTAAACCCTTTTTATTTATTTGAAAGATTAACGAGCATCTTTCCAAGTTTAATAAAGATGTGTTGATATGTGAAAAAATACACATTGGAACATTAATTAGTTTTTTTGCAAAGAATTAAAAAGGGCGAGACAATACCTTTCCACTGATACCTCATAAGTCTAAATCGGTATAGTTTTGGTCCAGTTATTTAATTTTTTTTTTAATTCCAAGTATTGATGGAAATATTGACCTAAATGGGGATCTCAGACAGAACGAGAAAAAATAATAGGTTCGGGGTCTCATGCTACGATACATTAATTTTATTCACGCTAACAAATTAAAAAAGGTTCACAGACAACTGAAGGATATCCTGATTTACTGTGGCTCATTATATATGTTAGAGGTTAGGGAAGCAAGCTTAAGTTTTAACCAAGAGTGGGTATTTCTTGAAGCGCTGTTACCCACGGACCTGAAAACGGAGAACGTGTCATCTGACATGATCTATCTTATGGGATCTGCGTGTTAACGAAAACTTACCAACACATGACCGTAAAGTTGACGCTGCTTCCCTCTATTTCTAACAACAGCAAATTTGAAATGTTTCTACGGACTTCTACGGTACGCTACGTACACGTTCGTGTGTAACCGCGCTCATAGCCAACAACTACTTAAAAGACTTTACTAACTAGAGCCCCTTAAGCGGGCAGCTCAGGTAAAAGGGATTTTGCATTTTTTCCCTGCAAGTTATAAACTATATTGATTTTTTTGCGAATACTAGCATATCCCTTAATAGAGTTTTCTCCTAAGCTGTCTAAGCTCATAACATCTACCGCCTGCAAAAATTCGTTTCCGACATGCAGTGATTCTCGTTTTAAGTTGGCAGTTACGATTCTCAATCGGGTCCAACGCTCACGGCCTAAGTGCGCCTCATGACAAAGGGCAACCACCTTAACCTAACCTAGCCTAACCGGTCTAAGTTATCAAAGAAATCATATCCAGAAATTTGATGCTTTTCCTACGGAGTGTGTGGTACTCACATAGGAAGTGCAGGATGGATTATATCTGCTCCTCAACTGTAAAGCTTCTGCAGTAATAGTTAAGTGGAGATGCGAATATGGCGGCCATGTGGCCAATGGTCCAGTGTCCCGCTGGTATTCCTATGCTAACCCAAACGTTCGGCCTTGAGAGCAGTGGCCAGAGTGAGCATCGTGCAGCGCACGTGTGCAGATTAGTCCACCTGCCTTTGATAGTTGCTCTGGTCCCCTCCTTTATGGACAGACAGGATGCAGACATGAAATGCAAGGGAGGTTATATGTCTAAACCACTTTCCTCAAACCTATTTTAAATCTCTTTCTCCAGTTCTCTTGGTTCGTTACCTCGTTTCTGATCTCTTAAAGCGGCTTCTAAAGCAGAAACTTCTTCTCCTCTGCTTCCAAATAACAGAGCTAATGAAAGTTCTTCCAATGCATCTGCCAAAGGTAAGACCCTGCCTAGAAGTGTTGATTAATAATAGCTCCTTATTTTACCGCCAAATTTTAGGACAGAGGTAACATAGTTGGATATGTTTTTCTGGAAGAATTTATCATTGCAATTCAATTACTCTTTCATCTTGGCTGCTTTAATTTCCAAATATCAGTGTCATTAGTCACACACTTCCAGGTAGGTGATAAGGATAAGTGGAAAGTTCACTTTCTATAAGATTTTATTAATTTTTTCTCAGAGTACTAAACAGATGATAATTAATAATAAAAAAGTACCATTAAAAAACGCCACCAAGCTAGACCAAAAACTTCGAGGCTAAAGCAAAAATATAGTTGCTAAATCCACTTTACCTTACCTTATGCTTACTATAAAGCAACCACATATTTGATCTTTATATATTCCAATAATCTTTACTTCATGAGACGTTCACTTAAGAATATTTCATGTTTAGGGAACAATCTTCTCGCAATTTTCCTGCTCTCTACAATTCTAAAAAATTTTATCTAGAAAATTGAATTGATCCTTGATGAGACCTGTTATTCTTTCAGATGCCTATTAAAATTTGGTGCTAGCAGCAATGGTGCACAACATTTTAACCGCAGCAAGTTCAAAATGTGTACCAGTCTCAGCGCTCATTTACTGCGTCTTACAGTTTGTGTATTTTTGCGCAATACAGTCATGATATATTTTTTCATTAGTGAAAATCAGCTGAAACGTAATTGGCATTTTGTCATCTAACCAATATTCACTGACTGAATAGCTGTCAGTCTGCAATTTATTAATACATTTTACAAATATTCGTACGCAATAAAAAT